GTGTGTGTGTGTATCTATGTCTGTCAGTGTGTGTGTGTGTGTGTATCTATGTCTGTCAGTGTGTGTGTGTATCTATCTCTGTCAGTGTGTGTGTGTGTGTATCTATGTCTGTCAGTGTGTGTGTGTGCATCCATGTCTGTCAGTGTGTGTATGTATATGTCTCTGTCCATGTGTCTGTGTGTATCTAAATGTCTGTTAGTGTGTGTGTCTGTCTGTTAGTGTGTCTTTGTGTGTCTTCTTCCCTATCATTGTGTATGTGTGTCTGTATGTCACTGTGTGTTTATCTGTATGTCTGTCAGTGTTTGTGTGTACCTGTGTGTCTATCTGAATGTGTATCAGTTTGTGTATATGTATATCTGCATGTGTCAGTGTGTGTGTATCTTTGTGTATGTGTATCACAGTGTGTGCGTGTGTGGCAGTGTATGTGTATATGTGCATATATCTCAGCATTCAAACACAACACTACACACAAATAAACACCTGCATGCAAACGTCAACACTACATACAAACACACCACTGCATTCAAATGTCAACACTACATACAAACACACCTCTGTATCAGACACCAAAATTATATATAAACACACACCTGCGTTCAAAAACCAACACTACACATAAATGCATGCTTGCATTCAAATGCAAACACTACATACAAACACACCGCTACAATCATACTGTAGCGGTACTTACCCTTTCCAGGGGCCGGCCGGGGTCCTCTGTTCGAGCCGCGCGCGGTCCTGCTGCTGCACGAGCCGCGCGCGGCTCAGCCGACCGCTGTGACTAGTAGCGGTCACATGTTCCACCTACTCTAAGAGCGCGCCGCGGGTATCGGGCGCGCTCTTAAAGGGACAGTGGGTGCCTAAATTGGAAAAGGCATCCCATTGGTCCCTGTCATGCCACACTCCCCATACACTTACCTTTTGGGGGCGTGGATGTGACAGGGACCAATCAAAGTAGATGTTTAGGTATTTATACTCACCTTCTTTCCTTTGTTCCTTGCCCTATCGTGGTTTCTGTATCAGTTCCCTTTAGCGCTTGTTGTGTTCAGTTGTGTTTCTTCGTATTGACCTTGGCTTTGTTTCTGACTACGTTTTCTCTTTATCCTTATCTGTTCTGGTTGTCGGCTTGTTGTTTACTGTGTACCAGACCCCGGCTTGTCCTAGTTTACGCTGTCTCTCTGTGCCATTGATTTCGGATTGTTCCTGACTCTGTCTCCTCTCATATACGTCGAGTCCGCCCATTCTAAGGTCCGGTAGACGTATCTCTCCTCTGTGTTGTCTTTTGTTTAGCTAAATCCTGCGTGTTGGGGTATATTCTCGTTACACATACAAACATACTCCATACAAACACATGCTTACAGTCAAACACACAAATACTGCTCCATGCTAAATACAATCCTGCAAGAATGGGGAATCGGTAGAGCCCCAGCTTTCAAAGCATTGTTGAAGTTGCACGACAGATGGGGATCTATCTTTTAGCCATCCTGTGTACATACACAGACCGTCATACAGAGACATACAGTATGTATGTCTCTGTATGACTGTGTAAATGTATTCAAAAGGAATAAACGCAGGCAACACTCCAATAGTAAGGATGGTATATTTATTGATAGGTGAACCACCCCAAAGAAAGTGCGTCGTTTCGGCTCAGCAGAGCCTTATTGCATGAGCTGAAACATCACACTTTCTATGGGGTGGTTCACCTACCAATAAATATACCATCCTTACTATTGGAGTGTTGCCTGTGTTTATTCCCTTTGAAGACTTTACTGGTGGATCCAGCAATGTCTGCCTGACATGGAGCATCCACCTCTGTTGATGGCCGGAGCATTTACACGGTGTCAGTGTGCAGGGTTCTTTGTTTGTCTGTGTATGTATGTCTCTGTATGCCTATCTCTGTTTCTTTATGTCTGTGTATGTATTTCTGTGAATGCCTGTGTCTCTATGAATGTATGTCTGTGTTTGTACGACAATGTACCTGTATGTGTAGATTGTATGACTGTGTTTGTTTGTGTGCCTTTTATGACTGTGTGTCTGTATATCTTTGTGACTGTGTGCCTGAAAAATTATGTCTGTGTGCTTGTATGGTTGTGTGTCTGTATGTTTGTGTATTTGTGCATGTATGTATTTTAGCCTGTATCTATGTCTATGTGGGAGAAAAAGAGAGATAGATAGGGGCTGGCGGGGAAGTAAGAAATACATAAGAGGGGTTGTAGGAGACACACTAAAGGGGGGTGTAAGGCACAAAGGGGCCAAAGGGGTAAGACATTCAAGAGAGTGGATATGCAACACTAATGGGGCTAAGAAATTCAAAAGGGGGCTACGAGACACAGAGGTGAAGATGCATTGTTTATTTATTTTTTTGGGGGGGGGCGTCAAAATGCATCTTCGCCTGTGTAGTCAAAAATCCTAGCACCGGCCCTGCACTCCGTCCCCTCTAGTGTTTCACCCAGATCCGCTTCCCATTTGTCTGTGTATGTCTGCGGGCCCCACGTGCCTGATTCTAGGCATATGTGGTTGTAGAGCAGAGAGATTAGTTTCGCTGGCATGCTTTCTTTTAGGCAGATTTGCTCAAAGAAGGTAAGAGGCTTGGCATTTGCCATTTTGACCTCATTGGTTTGCGCAAAGTCCCGTAATTGTATATATCGGAAGAAGTCGCGGGTTTGTAATGGGGCTAAGGTTTGTAAGTGTTGGTATGTTACTAGTTGGTTATCTACGTATAGGTGGATATAGCGTTGTAGGTTCGTGGCTTCGATGCCTTTAAAATCTCGTGCCCTTAGGCCCGGTGGGAATGCTCTGTTACGTAGTACTGGGGTCATTGGGGACGGGAGGTGTGTGAGTTTGAATTTCTGCGCGATCTGGTCCCATAAGCTAATGGAGTTTAGGATGGCCGGGCAGTCCGTCCGTAAGATTGTTCTGTGATGTCTCGGTGTCCATATGAGGAATTGCGGGAGGTCTGCTCCTGTCATGAGGGATTCTATGTCAACCCAACGGCGTTGATTTTTGGGGCAGTGCCAGTGAGCTATTTGGGCTACTTGGGCTGCGGTATAGTAATGGTGGAGGTGGGGCATACCCAGGCCTCCTCTCCCCCTGGGGTTATACAGTATTTTTTTGGCTATTCTTGGCCGCTTTCTCTGCCAGATAAAGGCGTCTATTGCCTGTTGTAGGCCAGCTAGGTCACTCTTGGTCACTCGAATCGGGAGTGCTTGGAATAAGAATAGCAGTCTTGGCAAAAGGTTCATTTTTATGGAGTGTAGGCGACCTAGCCATGTGATGGGTTTGTCTGTCCAAGTTTCTAAGTCCGTCTTGAGTTTCGTGATCAGTGGAGTGTAATTATGTTTGAATAGTGTGCTGTGATCTGCTGTGAGTCTGACGCCTAGATACGTGAGTGTGTCTGTGTTGGTTTTGATATGGTAGGTGTGTCTGATGTGTTGTGCCTCCCGGTCAGATATATGGAATGTCAATGCCGTCGATTTGGTTAGGTTGACTTTGTATCCTGATACGTCACCGTATGTCTGCAGTAGCTTTTCTAGATTTGCCATTGATTGGGTTGGGTCTGTGAGTGTTAGGAGTATATCATCTGCGTATGCAGCTACTTTGAAGTGTTCATCTCCTAAGTGCACTCCTTTTATGTTTGGGTTAGCTCGTATGAGGTGTAGGAGTGGCTCTAGTACTAAAGCAAATAGGAGTGGTGACAGGGGGCAGCCCTGTCTTGTTCCATTGCTCACTTGGAATGGGGATTTTGGCGCTCCTGTAATTATGGTTTGTGCTTGCAGGTTCGTGTATAGGGCCTTTATTGCCTTGATATAAGGTTCTGGGAAGCCTTGAGTTTGAAGTACTGTGAACAGAAAAGGCCATTGTACCCTATCGAAGGCCTTTTCCGCGTCAAGGGAGAGGACGAGGGCAGGTAGCCTAGTGTGTGATATGTGCCAGATCAGATCCACACCTCTGCGTGTATTTTCATATAACTGGCGTCCTGGTATGAAGCCGACCTGATCTGGGTGTATTAATTTGGGTAACAGTGGGATTAGTCTAGTTGCCAAAATCTTTGCGAATACCTTTAAGTTGGTGTTGATGAGGGAGATGGGTCTGTAGTTTGTGGCAAGTGTGGTGTCCTTGTTAGGTTTGGGCAGTAAGATAATGTTGGCGGTGGCCATGTCTCGGTCTGGAGTTCCCCCCTGAAGGAAGTGGTTACATAGTTTGGTGAGGGGGGGCAGGGCCGGCCTTAGGCCTTCAGGCGCCCTGTGCGAAAAATCTTAACAGCGCCCTCCCCCCCCCCCCGCGCCATCCATGTGTATAGGGGATTTATTAAATGAAAATTTAACAATTAACAAATATTTATCACCTCTTCCCTGTCATTACCTTGCATGGAGGGAGGGCATGCTGATCTCTGGTGATCAGAGCTTTCCTGTGGTAATCCGCGGCAACGTTCTGATTGGCCGGAACTCGGAAGACAGCTACATTTATCATGTGTGTGTCAGACGTGATTGTGTGATGTGTTCTCTGTGTGCCATATTTGTAATGGGTGTATTGACTGTGTCTGATATGTGTGTGTATTGACCGTGTGTGATTTTTGTTCACTATAGCAGTAGATAGGGGGAGCAGGGGCACTGGGGTAGATGTGGGAGCAATGCACTATAGCAGTAGATAAGGGGAGCAGTGTCACTAGGGTAGACAGGGAACAATGGCAATATAGGGGGAGCATGGGCACAATAGGGATGGATAAGGAGCATGGGCACTATAGGGGTAGATGGAGGGATCAGGTACACTATAGGGGTAAATGGGGAAGCACTATAGGGGTAGATGGGGAGCAGGGGTGCTATAGTGGTAGATCGAGGAGCAGGGGCACTATAGAGGTAGATAGGGGGAACTATAGAGGTAGATGGGGAACATGGGTACTATAGGAGTAGAGGGGGCACTATAGGGGTAGAGGGGGGCACTATAGGGATAGATGGGGAACAGGTGTACTATAGGGGGAGCAGGGGCACTATAGGGGTAGAGGGGTAACAGGGGGCAGGGGCACTGTAGGGATAGATGGGAACAGGGGTACTATAGGTGTAGATGGGGGCACTATAGGGATAGATGGGGAACAGGGGTACTATAGTGGGAGCAGGGGCACTGTAGGGATAGATGGGAACAGGGGTACTATAAGGGGAGCAGGGGCACTATAGGTGTAGATGGGGGCACTATAGGGGTAGAGGGGGCACTATAGGTATATATGGGGAACAGGGGTACTATAGGGGTAGAGGGGGCACTATAGGGAACAGGGGTACTATAGGGGTAGAGGGGGGTCACTTTAGTGGTAGAGGGGGAACAGGGTTACTATAGGGGTAGAGGGGGGCCCTATAGGGATAGGGGGCACTATAGGGATAGATGGGGAACAGGGTTACTATAAGAGTAGAGGGGGCACTATAGGGATAGATGGGGAACAGGGTTACTATAGGGGTAAAGGGTGCACTATAGGGGAAGAGGGGGGCACTATAGGGATAGATGGGGAACAGGGTTACTATAGGGGGGCACTATAGGGATATAGGGATGGGGGAACAGGGGTACTATAGGGGAAGAGGGGGGCACTATAGGGATAGATGGGGAACAGGGTTACTATAGGGGTAGAGGGGGGGCACTATAGAGATAGATGGGGAACAGGATTACTATAGGGGAAGAGGGGGGCACTATAGAGATAGATGGGGAACAGGATTACTATAGGGGAAGAGGGTGGGCACTATAGGGATGGGATAGATGGGGAACAGGGGTACTATAGGGGAAGAGGGGGGCACTATAGGGATAGATGGGGAACAGGGTTACTATAGGGGTAGAGGGGGGCACTATAGGGATAGATGGGGAACAGGGTTACGATAGGGAAGAGGGGGCACTATAGGGGAAGAGGGGGGCACTATAGGGATAGATGGGGAACAGGGGTACTATAGGGGTAGAGGGTGCACTATAGGGGAAGAGGGGGGCACTATAGGGATAGATGGGGAACAGGGTTACTATAGGGGTAGAGGGGGGGCACTATAGAGATAGATGGGGAACAGGATTACTATAGGGGAAGAGGGGGGCACTATAGGGATAGATGGGGAACAGGGGTACTATAGGGGGAGCAGGGGCACTATGGTCTCACTTACCAGGCAGCAGATTCAGGCCTCGGTTAGCTCCGCCCCCACCGACCACTTGGCTCCGCCCCCATCGGCTGCTTGGCTCCGCCTCCTACAGTCTCTTTCGCTGCTAAGCCCTGGTAGAGGGCAGGGGGTGTGCAAGCTGTCAGCCATAGGGCGCCCCCTGCTGCCATGGCGCCCTGTGCGGCCGCACAGATCGCACACCCCTAAGGCCGGCCCTGAGGGGGGGTGTCAGTTCCGTCGTAAATGTTTTATAATAGCCCATATCGTAGCCGTCAGGTCCTGGTGCTTTGTTCCCCTTTAGGGCGGAGATCGAGGCCGCCACCTCCTCCGGTGTGATGGGTGCTTCTAGAGCGTTGGCCTCTCCTGGTGTCACCCTGGGTAGGTTAGTGTGGGTTAGGAAGTCAGCTATGCGGGCGCGATGTTGGGTCTGGGCATCACCCTCCAGTGGTGAAAGGTTATATAGTTGCTGAAAGTATTCTGTAAAGGCGTCATTGATATCTTTTGGGGTGTTAACTAGTTTGTTGGCTTTGTTACGGAGCGTTGTGATGGGTTTGTATCCCTGTCTCGGTCTGAGTGTACGCGCTAGCAGTGTGTCCATTTTATTGGCTTTTTCATAGAACTTGCGCCGTGATCATAGTATAGAACGTGTTATTTCTGCTGTCATGTGCTCCCTGATTGCGTGTCGAGTGCCTTGGAGTTTGTCGTATGTGGTGGGGGATGGGTTTTGTTTATGTTGTTGTTCGAGCTTCCGCATAGCGGTTTGTAATTCTAGTAGGTGTTTTGTTCGTGACCGTTTTTTATGACTGGCTGCCTGTATGAGATGTCCCCTCAGTACGGTTTTGTGTGCCGCCCAGAGTGTTGTTGGGTTAACGTCTTCCGTGTCGTTGGTACTAAAATAGTCCGTGATTTTTTTGTCGCGTCGTGGTAAGTATTGTTTCATCGGTGAGTAGGGTTGTGTTGAGTCTCCATGTCCAGTTGTTGTGGTGTTGGAGGTTCCCCAGCGTA